CCCGTTATAGGATTTTTTTGAAAATTTAGATTTTTACACCAAATGATTTCAGCATTACAGTGTTGCCATTTCGTATTAAAAGTAGTAGCATCTTTGTTATTTTAAATGGAACATCCGGTATATTATTACATTTTTTCAAAACTTCTATTGTACTGTCCTATACCTATCTCTCATAGATTTGGGATAAAAAATAAAACATGTGTAACATTGACAAAAATATGATCTTAAATAAGCATTGGTTGTTAAATCATGAATTCGGCATATCGAAAGAAAGTTGATATATTCGTTCTGTCTAATTCAACCGATTGGATATAAAATAAAGACATAAAAAATATTTCCGTTTGTTATAATATTGTTGAAATCTGTGTTATTCTAAATTCAACCCTACATGATATTTAAAAAGTCAAAACCCTAATAAAATAGGTTTTCAACAATAAATCATGTTTCTATACCTAAACATTCTGGTTCCTTCAGTGTCTTCCGGTTTTTTCAGTAGAGCTATTTAAAAATTAATAATTTTATTAATATAGTTTTATTTCAAGAATTTTGTTACCTTGGTAATTTTAGAAATTTGGCAAATACTTAGAAAGTTGAATAATTGTCATGGTAACGATTTCCTTTAAACGATTCAATTATAATAGGATTATCTCTTAAGTGACTTTAATGAAGAAACCAAAAGGTCTTGGTATAGGAACAAGATATATCGTTAAAAAGCAATTTTATTCGTGTTTAGAATTCTTAAGTAATATACATAAGATTGAATTTAAAATAAAAAAATAGTTATTTTATAATTAATGAAAATAAATATATTTTTTGTCATACGCTCCCAAAAACAGCTATTTTACGGACTCATTTCAGTCCGTAAAATGTTTCTTTTTCGGCCTAGGCCGTAAAGGTCGTCATGGCAACCTTTATGGACTAAAATGTCTAAATTGTTGATGAATTTGTGTGATTTTGTGACAAATTTCGAATGACATGTCAAAATGCGATGAAATAAACAAACTCGTTACTAAGATATGAATTTATAAGCCAACTTTTTCAAACATTATAATTTCAAATATGGAAAATTTGCAAATATGCGTTCTAAAAAACTGTAAAAAGCGTATGACAAAATAGTGTATGTAACACGTACCTTAATTATGTTTTTTAGGACTCATCTACTATTTGACTCGGCTAACGCCTCGTCCGCAAACAGTAATGATTCGTCCTAAAAACATCATTTTAGGTACTAGTTACATAAATAGCTATTTTGTCATACGCTCCCAAAAACAGCTATTTTACGGACTCATTTCAGTCCGTAAAATGTTTCTTTTTCGGCCTAGGCCGTAAAGGTCGTCATGGCAACCTTTATGGACTAAAATGTCTAAATTCGTTATTTGGTTGTTTTATTTTGTCATTCGAAATTTGTCACAAAATCACATAAAATTATACATATATTTATAATTAAATTATTAAATACTAACAATATCAAAAGCTAAGTTATTTGTTTAAAGTAAGTACCTAGGTACCTATTTAAAAGAGGCTTTTAAATTAAAATATTCTTAAATTACAGTCACAAACAAGACATAATCATGTGGTACATTTTGGCCTAAGACAAGCATATTTTCTATACAACTCAACTGGATTGACAACGTTCCCTTCTGTTCACCACCGGAAACACTCTTTTGATATTAGTTTTTGTATCCGCAAGGGTAACTAAAAGGCAGCTGTTGTCTTTTTCTATGATGTCTTGCACTCGTAGAGAGTACAATTCTTCTCTTCTACATGCTCCACAAAGGCCAATGACAAGAGCTACCTAAAAATCAAATACAATGGAATAAGAAACCATCTATATATTTTAAAAATCATTATCGCAAACTTACCTTAGTAAGTAAATAAGTTTCATCACTAGCCGTGGCCAAAAATCACCGATCTCTTTTATGGACAAAACCTTAGACTTTTTAGGCTCGTAACCAACCGAATTCCTCTTCAAAAAAAGCAATAAGTTTTGGAAATTTGTCAATATAAATATCTTCTTTAACACTTAACACTGCTCTCAGCATGGAATATTTCGACCAAATTGACGATGGTTTGAATGTTTGTGACTGTAATTTAAGAATATTTTAATTTAAAAGCCTCTTTTAAATAGGTACCTAGGTACTTACTTTTTCGTGGAAATAATTTAGCAATACATCTTCATTTACAACGAATACGCCATTTTGTCTTTCCATTCATTAAAAACATCATATTCTTTCTGGTAAATGGCACGAGACTTCACAGGAAGTAAATCCAACACGATTTCTTTGGCCTTATTAGCAATATGTTCGGGATTTTGGAACATTTTAAAATTGTTGATGAATTTGTGTGATTTTGTGACAAATTTCGAATGACATGTCAAAATGCGATGAAATAAACAAACTCGTTACTAAGATATGAATTTATAAGCCAACTTTTTCAAACATTATAATTTCAAATATGGAAAATTTGCAAATATGCGTTCTAAAAAACTGTAAAAAGCGTATGACAAAAAATAGTGTATGTAACACGTACCTAAATTATGTTTTTTAGGACTCATCTACTATTTCGGACTCGGCTAACGCCTCGTCCGCAAACAGTAATGATTCGTCCTAAAAAACATCATTTTAGGTACTAGTTACATAAATAGCTATTTTATCTCCCTCTGTGATTTACAATTGGTTTTTCTTTGGACTGGTTGTTTTTTGGACAGATCAAATATATCGACTTTCCTTTACTTATATCCCAAATTTCAACACTCAAACAACAAAAATGCTCATTTCATGATTTTACCAATGTTTTACTTTTTATTTCAGAAATTATTGGTTAGTATAATAGAAAAATTATGAGATACGAAGCCCATTTTCCAAAAATGTATTAATTAATATACCGGGTGTTACATTTAAAATAACGAAGATGCTACCACTTTTTAAATGATGCAGCATATATAAATAATATAAATAACATGCGGAAAATAATTTAGAGAAATGGGTAGGTGTTTTATGTAAAAATCCAAATTTTCCAAAAAATCCGTTTAGCGGTTTCCAGAAACGTCTAATGGTAGATTAGACCGCCGTGAATAATCCTATAGTTAACTTTATTTAAAAAAAGTTGCATGGCGCCTAAAAAGCATATTCTACATTACTTTTTATTTGCCCCCCCCCCCTCCACTAAAATAAAAATTCCTGTACCCGCCCCTGTCTATAGGGTTAAATAGCAAATATAAAAAGTTATTGTGAATGATTTGTATTGTGAATATTTGTATTTTTTAATAAAGAAATGTTTAAATTATTTTTAGTTTTAATAATTTTAGTAATTCTTATTTTTCATTATAGTAAGTTTATGTAGATACGAAATCTAATTGTCATTATTGGGGGTTTTGTATAGATCTAATAATTTCTTATTGACTATTTGAAATTTCGCTTAGAGTACAGGAAAATCTTAAATACGAATAATCATATCAAGATGAATACACCCCCAATGGGGGAGAAATATCGTATAATAGGCAAAAACGGTGTCAAAAATGTTGAGGTACAAAAATCGATAATAATTTGGCGCGGTGAATCTCTAGACGTCATTTACTAAAAATTGACATAAACTAACATTAATTATAGAAAGGTTAAAAAAGGATAGAACGTCTCAAGACACACAGATCTATTTCCATAAAATTATTATTCTCAAATAAACTACACTATTTAAAACCATTTTTACTAAATATAAAAACAAATTTCAATCATATTAAAAAAAAAATAAAGAAGAACCTTCTCATTAAAAAACAAATAGGACTACAGGCTAAATAAATGACGCCTAGGGCTTGACCTCGCCCAAATTATTATCGATTGTCATTCCACAGCCGTCTTTGAAGCCACTTTTTTTTTGATCGTGTGATAGAATTATGAAGAGTAGAGAGAGGAGAAATATCCCTTATGGGTCACAACAATGGGAAGAAAAAGAGTTCCTCAAATAACCACACATAACGCATAAATCTAAAAGAATAAAAATAACATAACCAAACATTACTCAAAAAGCTTTGTTTTTATTTTTTAGAATATAAAACAATTATTTTTATACATTAGAGGCCCAGTATATTGCTGCTGAATAAAAATCGATAATTTATTTTATGTGCTATGAAAATAAAATTTGTATTTTTTTGAAATCCGCGCCTTCACGTCATATATTTATCTCTTTTGAACCATTTCCTTTAGTAAACATTTTCGGCGCAAATTTTAAATTTTAGGTTTTTGCTACAGCAGCGCCATCTGAAGTCTTCCCTTTTTTATGACCACGTTTTAATGCAAAAAAATATTGCATATTTAGGCGCAAAAGCCGTATTTAATGGTCCTTACCTCTACACTCCATAGATAAAATTGAGTATCTTGACTCACCCGGCCTCATCCTTTAGAGGATAGCAACCACAAACGAACCTACCTTGTGTAGTACATCGTTGAAAAGCTCGTTGTTCTATTTTTATAGTCTTATAGCAACATCATAAACCATAATTTTAGTTAAGCATTGGTTTCTTACAAAGCGGTACCGCAAAAGAGCGGCAGTTAACAGCGACCTACGCTGCAAAAAAGTGTGTATGGACTTCGGGGTGGGTTCCTCCAAAGCGTTTAGCACAAAAAAAATACGGCACCGTATTATATCAAGCCGCCGCTCAGTACGTTGAGATATTGCAACAACGCGAATTTTAGCGTTTTATATTTGAAATCATCTGACTCAAAGAAAAAAGCGACAGTATTTTATGTATTTAATGTTACTTTACAATAATATTCACTGCCAACATTACCGCCGCTCTTTTACGGCACCGTTTTGTATGAACCGATGCTTTACTGAGATATCAAAATTTAAAAATAAACTTTTTAAAAAACTAGAAATGTTTACTTTCTCTTGGACAAAAAAAATGTTATAATGGAAATACACCATCGGGAAAACCAATGCTCCCCCCAATTTCTAATGCTACTTTAAATTGTTATTAATATTATTACTACTATATATTGACTTACGAGGGTTATCTGCACTGATAGTTTCCTGTCCTTTCACGAGTGCACCCACTAATGTAGAAACCACCGTGATTACAAGGAACATGTTGCGTATGGCGATGCAAGTGACTAACAAACGAAATTGAGAGTAAGTATCGCGAATGTTGACTTTCTCTGGCGTTCGATAAATTGGAGAACCGTCCGTCGACTTATTCCCTGATGCGAAAAGTTAGTACCGCATCGGCGGTCAGTTTAAAGAGATACGCTCGCTTATAGCGCTTGTAACTAGGGATGGGATTTTTTCCGATGCATCTAATAACAATATGCAGCACTAATATTATCGATACATATCGATATATCGTTACCTATCAATATATCGACACCTATCGATACATCAACACATTTATCGATATATTGATATTTCAATACCTATCGATACCTATCGATATATCAAATTTAATTTTTTTATTAGACCAAAATTATTAATAAAAGTGTGTATGTAGCAATTTAACAAACTAAACAAAGATACAAAGTGTCTTTGTTTAGTTTGTTAAATTGCGACCCCATAAACAAAATAAAAATAAATTAACTTACAAAACTCAAAATAATAAAATAAGTACGAGGAATGTAAATTAAAATATAACATAAAAAAGGTAAAGACGTTATTTCAGTAGGGATGAACGGAGAAAAGCAGTGAGGCAGGACGAAATAGTGCACTGTGCTATTCTGTTGCCGAATACGCCGTACCAGTTTGGGTACGCTCCTGCCATGCCAAAAAGATATAGGGCCGATGCTGAACCAATCATGCCGTCTAATCACCGGATGCCTAAAACCCTCATCGGCCCAACAGTTACACTTCTTCAGCGGAATAAAGAGACAAGTTTCCAGAAGATAAGAAAGACAGCCGCTGGACCCAGGTTGAAATGCAGAAAACATGAAATCCAGCCACTTGACATCCGCGAACAGACTAGAGTTGTGGTCAGCAACGTAACAACTCCAAATGAATTTGCGGTAATGCCAAAAGAGAACCTACCACCTGGTGCGGAACAGGCATGGCTGGTGTGAATGGTTTCAAATCTTCCCAATATATGTAATCAGTGTCACAAATTAACTGCAACAGATGTGAAAGAACACCGAATTACGCGTTCAGGTTTCTGTGACCTTCAGAAAGAGTTCATATACAATCCGCATCAATGTATAGTTTGGGTTATTATTTGTTTGGGTGAAAATAATCTGCACCAATATGTTATCGAGGCATGTAATCTTACAGTAATTTAATAGATTGCTCGTCATATTATATCAGTTCGTAGGAGATTAGGAAAAAAAAAGATATTTATAGTATAAAAAATTAATTTATTTAACAAAATTTAATTAAAGATGTGACAAAATAGTTACTTTTCTATTGGTTCTATCGGACTATTTTCGACTATATAAATCTTTATTTTTTGTAAACTTTAATGCATAAAATATTTTCAATCTAATAACTAATTTAATGATGTAAATAAGAGGAAATTTCTCACCACTTTTTTTGACCACCCATGGGTCAAATTCTATAGTTTTCATTATATCAAACAGCCTCTGAATGTTTTCTTCAGTGCAAAACTCATCAAAATTTAATATAAATAATTTTTCCATTTCCAGTAAATAAAATGAACAAATTTTTCCACTTTCATGATCAAAGGCTTTAAATGGGTAAATAATTTCGAGTTATCCAGAGATTCGGATTCTTTTGCAAATTTTAGACAAATATCACATTGATGTATTTGAAGACCCTTTTAATTGATGTAGTCAAACATAATTAAAGGCATTTTGAGTTGAAAACATTTCTCAGAGGCTGTTTGATATAATGAAAACTATAGAATTTGACCACCCATGTGAGAAATTTCCTCTTATTTACATCATTAAATGATTTATTAGATTGAAAATATTTGATGTATTAAAGTTTACAAATAAAGATTTATATAGTCGAAAAAAGTCCGATAGAACCAATAGAAAGGTACTATTTTGTCACATTTTTAATTAAATTTTGTTAAATAAATTAATTTTTTATACTATAATATACTTTTTTTTCCTTATAAATAAACACATTTGTATCCCATTTTAAATAATATATACGAATTACCAAAACTTAGAAATAACAGTTCAAAAGTTCAACAAAAATCCTACACCCGTTTTTAAAAAGAAACATATAACCACGCACTATGTCATTCCATCAAGCGAATACGACACAGCATAGGTTTCCGGACTAAACGACTGGTGTATTTACACCACTCAATAGGCGTGTGGGGTTTGCTAAGCGGCTTCCGATGCAGTCGCTTTCTTTCGCATCTGTTATAAGTAATTTGTGTCATTGTGATCTGGTGGAGGGAAATAGCAAACCCTGGAGTGTTCCAAGTATTGAATGTCCTGTATATAACCGCTACATGTCTGTCTATTTTCTGTACAAATTTTGTTCCTATTATGTTGATTGTTTGACTATCTTTTTTTAAATGTATGATGTGTCCTTTTTTAATTTGAGTCGTTGTATATATTTGTTATATCTTTTGTTGTATCTTACATTTCTATATTTTTTGTATTTCTTGGATTTACTACTTAGTTGGACACAAGTAAATAAAAGGACGAAACAGTTTAAACTCTGGAAGCCAGTACAGCCACCAAACATGGGCATATCAAAAGAACAAGAACCTCACAAATCAGTAAAAGAAATTATAATTTTGCGAACTTAGTAAATTAATTTTGTTGATGAGATTTAAAATAATGCCCTTACCTAGTCGAATGAGCATGGTCAACGTAATTAAATAATGAGAAACATATAAACAAAAACATATCGACTGATAGAAGATACATTATAGGTATCGATATATCGGTACCTCTCGATATATCGATACTTATCGATATATTGATATATCGAAATTTATTTTTGTGGGTATAATTTAATTTACCTTTTATAAAAACTTGAATATTATATATTTTACGGTTAAAGTCCGATGTCCGGTTAATGTCGACATTAACAGGTTAATGTATGTATTTGGTTGTTTTGTTGTGTGTCATTCTCGAGATTAGCCGGGTAATGTCGACATTAACCGGACATTGGACCTTAACCGTAATATATACATAGTTTTATGAATATAGAATATGTCAAAATTCTTATATAAAATAATATTTTTATCCAAAGAAAATAAGGTATGTTACCAGGGTTGCTACGATTAGGGATATATTTGTTCCGATATATAAATAACTATCTCGATATATCGAATAGCAATAGGTATATCAATAAACCGATAACTATCGGCTATTCGATAGTTATAGACAGTTATCTATATATCGAGTTATCGATAGTTATTTATATATCGATATTTATCGATGAATCGTAGTTATCGATAGGTAAATTGCGATAACATATCGATAGGTAACATCTATTAGGCCCATCCCTACTTTTTTTAACCTGTGTGGTCCGATGAGAATCCTTGCTTTTTAAAATATAAAATACTTCTCACCTTCGCAAACAAAAAAAATAAGTTAATTAACCTTCATAGAATTGATTTTTGATAAAGATTTACTGTTCTTCTTAATTGCCATTATGTCAATTGAATTAATAATTGATTTTTAGTAGTTTGTACTAAAGTATTTTCATAAAAATTAAATACAATTTTTCGTAACTGAAGAATGTCAAAAGTTGACATATATGATATATCATTCTATTCAGAATGTCATTTTCTATCGAACAAAGTAAAAAAATACCGAGGGTGCCATTTAAAAATCAAAAGTTGTAGTCATTTCCGGTGAAAGTGGAAGTGACCAAAAACAAGTGAATACGTCAATCAATCCTAATTTATGTCATTTACTAGCATACCAAATAGTTTCAATAAATTTTTAAGTTGAAAATGATCTTTCTCCACTCGCCATTGTTAACGGTAGAATCAATATTATTCTTATTATAATTACCATATTAGGAAAGACAGAGTTTAGATTATAATAAACATACTCGAAGACTGTGCTCCAACATCACCTGGTTGCTACATAATAAATTAATTTTTAATATTTAATAATCTGGATCAGTGGCGGATACAGAGGGGGGGCATAGGGTCCGGGCCCTCCCTAAAACCTATAAATTGTGTTAAATATCAGGCTTTTGGCTTAAAAAGCATATTCTACATTACTTTTTTCCCCCCCCCCCCCCCTAAAATACATTACTGTATCCGCCCCTGAAATCTGGATAATATCTTTTTTACTTCTGTATATTATAATTATTCCATATAATTTGATCTAGCGTCCTTCGAGCTTTGCGCCCTGGTGTACTTGTACTTTACTTGTACCCTTTGGTAGGCACAACCCTGATGGTCTCCTTTTTTATGGTGTAATCACTGATATTTACTTTATCCTGATTAATTACTTTATCCATTTCAGGACATTAAGTGTCACTCCATATATGTCAGTAATTTCTCAATTCCTACACCACGACCAATCGTTTCCAATGCTCGCCGTAAGTCCACAAATACACTTAACATAATTGTATTGTCGTTTATGCGATTTTTCCATGTTGAACACACATTTTGAAGAGGTGACTCACAGGAATAACCAGCACGGAATCCAGACGGTCCAATGTACCTACTAGTTGACGCAACTGATCACACACTACAGTTTCAATTATTTTATCCATTACAGAAAGTAAACTAATTACGCCAAATTCAGAAACCTTCTGCAGATTAGGCAATGTTGGTAGCTGTGTTGGTAGTATACCGGGTGCATCTCAAAAATGGCTCACACCTGTAACTTTTTATTTTTTCAGATAAAAAAAACGAGATTTGGTATGTGAGTATATGACATAAATTAGGATTGATTGTCAATTCTTTTAGGTCACTTTCTGTTTCACCGAAAATTACTACAATTTTTAATTTTTAAATAGTTTAATTTTCACTATTTTTTTTTTACTTTATTCGATAAAAAATGACACTCTGAATAGAATCACATAGCATATGTCAACTTTTGACATATTCGCTTTAAAAACATGGTATTTTAAATTTCAATATAGAATGCCAACAAATGTCTGTGCTAAAAACTAATTTTTAATCAAAGAGCCTTAGAAAAATATATTTGATCGTCTTATGTATTTAGTGTCTTGTTCTGGCCGGCTAAAAGATGCCCAAATCATATTTTTAATCATATCTCAATTTTTTCAAATGGAACGAGAGTGGCCCATTAG